CCTCCGCGGCCGATTGGTAACGACCTCCGCTGGAGCGCGTCCCCGCCGCTCGGCCTAGCTCTGCAGGCGCCCGATGCCCGCGGCCCGAGCGCCCCCTTCCTTCCTCCGGCTCAGGCTTACCGGGTGTCGGGCAGCTCTAGCCGGCCCCCGGGGTAACGCGGAGCCTGAAGCGTTCTCGTTCCGCTGGCTCCGCGGTGTTGACCTTTACGGCAGAGGTGTCGGTCCCCGTTCCCACTTTTCTGTCTCTTCCAAGGGGACTGGTGCTGTATTATTTGATTCGGGCAAGTTAGGATCAGCTAGTCATCCCTATTTATCCTACAAGGTAACATTTGTGCGAGGTGTTCTGGTTGCAGCCTCCCAGATCAATCCAGGTGTGCCAGGATCTTTCTATCTCGGGGCTTAGTGTCTATCTGTTTTAAATAATCTTAACTTGTCAGGTTCACTGCCTGTGCTGCATGCTGTGTTTCAGGAGTACAATTTTTCAGGGGGTTTCATTAATCAGTTTGTCAGTTTAATGTTACAATTTCAGCTTGGACAAGTGTGTTCTGTGTACTAATTGTATGTTTTTAAATGCCTTTATTTTAATTGCTTGACATACTTGTGTTTCTTGTCGTAACTAAAAAAACCTTGCAGTTACAAATAAAAGTGTTTGGGGGATCACTCTGAGGAAGCTTCTTGACATTGACTCCTTTAAAATAATTTTCTTTGGTTCATGTCTTTTAAAAGGTGGTGCAGCTATGGTAATGATCTTCCCTGCATGTGAAGAAGGAGGTGGTGGGGTAGAGAATAGAGGCTCCCTGCATGAAACACCGTTTTCCCCACACCCTCCATTTTGTAGTGGAGGGCTTCCCCCTTTGTAGCCATGTCATTTTTTGGCTTTGAATTATGCTCGGACTGTTACCATGTCAATGTAATGTGTTTTGATGTGAATGATACAAGGCTAGAGGAAAAATCTCTTCTGTACCTGCATTTTCAATATTAACAGCAGCATTCAGGAGCCCCAAAACAATGCTGAGGTTTGCACTGCTTTTTGTTTTTAATCTTCTCCTTAAGATTTTATGGCAGTTGCTGAATTTGCATCCAGCATGGTAATATTAATGCAATAAGCACAAAGATATTTTTATTTATCTTCAGTGTCTAGAAAGTTCTGTGTGAATATCAAAGAATAAAATGGGTAAACGTAATACTAATACCTTTAAAAAATGCACAAATGACTATAATAAATCCGATTGCCCTTTGAACAGGGTGTTATATACATATAGCTATGTTTGCTAGCTGTTCTGTAGTGGTCCTTAAGTCGTTTTTGCCTGAACTAGCAGGCAAAATTAACTGTAATTTACCCTGTGATGGTCACTGAGTTTGTATGGAGTTTGCACGAGGACAGACATTTCATAGTTGATTGTACGATGGCAAAACAGGCCATACGTTTTAGAAGACATGTTATTGTGTCTGGATAACAGTTGTCAGGTTTTGCAGTGATAGCTTTCAGAGCATGTGGAACATGTATGGATTTACTTCCTAGAAGCAGAAGAATGTATTTGTAGCCAGTACCTGGAGAACGTCTCAGGAAACTTAACTTTTTTTTTTTTTTGGAATCTTCATTGTGTAACTTTGGTTTCTTTTTTCCAAAACTCCCTATCTCCTGTTTTACTGGAGAAAAATAAAATTATGACGCTCTCTTTCCAAAATGAAATACATAATATTTTTGAACATCCTTTAAAGGAGAACAAATGTATATGATACTACTTATTTTTATGGAATTTTTTGCCTGATACAAATGTGCCCTGGGTTATAAACTAGGTCTAGGCCACAATTCCCGTCAGGCTTTGTGGTTCAAAGTTGAGATGGTGCATTATATTGATAAACCAGCTATTAAAGTGGGGAGGAGAAAGATACTGCAAAAGGGGAAAGCTGACATTTCTAGCAAATATAGGATCTGCTAAAATTTTAGAAGGTGTTAATTTCTTTTTTTTACATTGTGGAAGCCTGGCCTAAGGAAGCCCATGCATGAAGTCGGAGAACATTCACTCTCGTACGGAGGGTTTGGTTTTGGTATAAAACGAAGTGATGGCCTTATTCACAGGGAGACAAATACCAACTTTGTCAAAAAGTGAGGATTGCAGGAAAAAAACCCTCCTCATAATTAGCAGAAAGAAACTTAGTTATCATGGAAAAATTACTTATTTGCTGGAGCATGAAATGACTAACATGATCTGACTAGATACAGCCCCAGGTAGTATTTTGGCAGTTACTGGTTATGTAAATAAAAACAGTTGTATGTTTTAAGGGAATATGAAACTGTATTGGGAGAAGTAAATGAGTTGTTTGAAATGCCAAGTAAAACTATGTACTGTGATTAATAATGGATGCTTAAGATGATTGCTGTATGTGTTCTTTCCCAGTGGTATGGTGGTGGTCTGCTTCTGCCTGAAAACATACAGAATTTGTAATACTGCTGTAGTCTGTGTGAGATGCTGTTGTGGGGGGGAAGAAAAAGTGTGTCTCATAAAGGGAAAAAAAAAAAAGGGGATATTTTAAAGAAATTCAGTAAGGAAACTGGTTTTTAAACTGATACTTTGCTGTGAAAAATAATGAACTTTCTTTGCTGAGTTGATCAGTTTATCATGATATATCATATCCAAAACTTAAGGTAAGGATTTTATATGTGTCTTACAGTGTCGTGATGTTCTAATTAACATTATGGCAGCATCATAGAGCTGTAGTGACCATTCACTTCCTAGAAATTGTTCAGGGAGCTTGTTCAGAGCTCTACCTGCTTTAAATTTAATCCAGCTACTGATGTGTAATAACATCTAGTAGGAACACAAAAATGTACATCATGTGGAAGTTTCAAGTGTTCTTAGCTGCCAAAAGTATAACCTGGTCAGGATGTGGTCATCATATCTGTCTTTTTCTATTTTCTCTTCTATTTACTCTTTCAGAGTACCATTTATTAATGACCTGTGTTTGTGTTACGACTGCCACATGCTGTGTAGAGATTGAGTTGGAATCTGCATGTGGAATACAGTGGAGTGTGCTGATCAGTCTAGGCTCTTTGTAGATCTCTTTGTGTGTACCTGGGCTGTTCTCCGTAGTGAAATTGTGTTGTTCTGTGTAGTGTCATCCACAGTGAGATGCTGGTCTGTGACTGGAGCCCACGTGGATGGTTATAACACACATACGAGGACCAGCACTGACTGTTAGGCTGATACTTGCCTCAACACATGGAGGAGCCTTCAGTGGGCAAGTGGGACTTTAATAATGTGCTTGGCTGGCAGTTCATGCAATATGTTAAGCCTCAAGATAAAATGAAGAAGCTTAACATTCAGTGAATGTGAACATTTGAGACTTCATCTTCCAAGCACTCCCAACATGTTTTACTGCTCTTCTTGTCCGAGTAATGTCACGGTGTTGAGTGAAAGGGCTGAGACTGAGGTGTGCCATCCTGACTGCAAAATGTAACTCCTTGTACTTGAGCTCAGTTAGAGAACTACCCCTATCAATTAAATTATGTGTCTATTTAAATGTTTCCAGTCATGTGCACTTTGTGATAATTACTACCCTATACCATGAGTGGGAGTGTAATTGAGGATACAGAATGTTACAGATGATTTGGGAGGCTTAGGTTCAGTTGCTGGCTCTACCATGCAAACTTGTTTGATAGGTGCTCAATGCTGCTGCTCCAGAATTTGTTGTTTCAGCAATTCTATCCCATTTTAATCCAAAGCAAATTTTATTTTCAAGCTTTGGTTTTATGAAGTGATTCTGTGATTTTTTTTTTTTTAAAAAAATTATTTTATATGCATTACTGAGTTATCTTTGGGCAAAGGGATGCAGGTTTTAGTAGAGGAGGGAAGTTCTGCATCCTAATCTTGCAGCAATGAACTACAAGGTTAGAGTAATAAAAGTTTCAAACTGACTCTTAATGGAAAGCAGACCATTTGAGTCTGAACTGAAAAGGACATGATAAACTCCCACTGTCCTGAGCAGTGTTTAACTGGGAAAGTGTTCTTCTGGCTCTTTTCTGATTAATTGTACTGATATTCACATTTTTATTCTTGTGTATGCACAGCTGTGTTGATGGTAACTTATGATGTGCTCAGTTGAGACTCGATGAAGTAATCTCACAGCTTGTTGGTGCTGGAAGGGGAGGGCTTCTGCCTTGCCTTGGTTCACCAGGGCTCCAGGTTCATCAGGGCTTAGCTGACCCTCCTGGTAAGCTGCTTCAACTTGCAGACTTGGCCAAAGACTTGTTTTCTGACCAGTTTTCCACCTGCCAGGTTTGTCAGTCTAATTAACTGACTTAATTGAGATGAGGGCTAGAACTGTGTGGCCAAGAAAGGAAGGAGTATCTGTGAATGCGTCCATTTCTGCAGCAGCAAGCTGTTAAATCAGCTCAGCTGTTCTGCCTGACAGCACCTTCAGAGAGGGTCATCCTCCTTTGGAGGCAGAGTACCTGTGTGAAAGAACATAAGCACAATTAATGTAGATCCAAGGAGTATACCAATGCATTTTCTACTCCAAAATATTCCCAGGTGGACTTTTACAAAAATTAACTTTTTATTTTTTTTTTTACCCAATATAAAGCAAATTGTTCTACAGACTAATCTTATATAGGGTTTTTTGTTACATTGCTCAAACAGATTTGTGTCTTACAGTAATATGAAGTTGACAGTATAGTTTTGGTATTGCTGGAAGGGCAACTGGAAGAGGTAAAACTCTTATTTTGCATTAACATGTACTTCAGTGAACTCTTCTGTCCAAGCAGACAGGGTTGTTTCTTGTGTAACCTGGTTGCTGGTACCACCTTGTGACATCAGGGTCCAAGTGTTCATCTCAGTAGATAGATTTCTGGAATCAGATGTTTCACTTTACTGTTATTTGTATGCAGAGATTAGACATGAGTGCTTATAAGGTAACTTCTTTATGGAGGAGTAGTAATTAAAATTTAAGAAAAGCTGACTTAGATAAAATTGGCACACTCTTTGGGGACAGCTGGAGAAAAAAAATCTATGGTTTCTTTAAAAAAGTGCACATGCCATTCATGAAAAATAAAATATATTGCCTATTCCCCTGTTTTTCTGCTTCTGTTCTGGTTATTTGCAGATATGACATTCTCTTCAGTAGGGAGTAGAACATTTGAGCCACCCTGTTGTTTCTTGCTGAGCTTGCATGTTTCTGTTGATTACATAATACCTGAAACTGCCCATTTTCCAGTTGTCTTTAAAGGGTGCATATACCTTCTGCTTGCTAATTATAAACCTTTGATTGCAGGAGCAGCTGTTTAGGCCTTCTAGAGAGTTAATCTATATAGGATGCAAATAGAAGGGGTAATGGATTGCTGCAGAATCCTTTCTTACTGTTTATTTTTTATTATAAGGTTCTATAATAATTATACATACCTGCCTTATTTGAGAACATGCTTAAAAATCATTCCCACAGGAAATTTTACTGTAGGAATGCAATGTAGCCCTGGTGTGTGTTCAGTTTCTACACATGAAAGACTTTTTGATGAAAAATGTGAAATTTTTGGTTGAAAATTTATAAACATGAAGAAAGCTTATAAGATATTAATTGGTGTCTGTTATAGGTAAATCACTACCTATTAAAAATACTGTTGCTTTAGAAGTGCATTTCTTCATTAGTTAACAAGAGTAGGCTAATGCTAGCATTTCCATGTATCCTTTCACATCCTGAATTGCCTGGTGCTCTCCCTTCTCTCTCTCTGAGCACTGGTAGTGTTAAGAGGAGTATTTCTTCAAGTGTGTGCTACATGTGTGTGCAGATCTGTGGGGAGCCTTGTATTTCTTTGCTGTGTAACTTCTCTGAATTAGTGTTTACTCTATGAAAGTTAATGTAGTTGACCATTTAAACTGCCCACGTTTAAAGTTATTTTAGCCAGAATGCCAGCAAAAGAGCCCCAAAAGATTTGTGTGTATGCTAATATCTACCTATCTTAATTTTTTCATTTAAAAAACCCAAAATCCTTCTTTTGTTGCAGTGTGCAGCTGTGCCGCACTCTCAGTGAGAACAAAAGCCATGATCATGTGGGTTTCCGAGGTAAGTTGGGTTGGTTTTTGGGTTGTTTCTAATTAAATGAAAAGCCTGGAAACAGTTGGTCATGGTACCTCTGCATGTGTCTGCTTGGAATGTTCATCTGTGGTGGCTGTTAATGCATGCTAAAGGGAGAGCCTTACAAATGGTAAGGCAGTACAAACATGCACAGCTAGATTTGTATTCACGTGTCCAGGTGAGAGAGCAGAAGAGATAAACCAAAACATTTCAATGTAAATCATAAGTAAGAAGAATTTATTATTCTTAGAGCAAAATCACTACTCTCAGAGTTTTTGAAGAAAGTCCACCAGATGGTCTCTGTTCTACACAGAGGCTGGCAGTTCTACATGTTGTTTCTTTTTCTTTGTCCTTGCTGTCATTTTCTAAAAAATCCAGTGGCAATGATGACTAGATGATACATACAGTGTCTTCATGGGAGGAATTAATACATGGTAGAAACAGTTGAAGTCCTCCTGGTGATGGAAAAATCCCTGAAAATATGGATGATCTGGAGTGAGGCACAGACATAGTGACTGCTAAGAATTTGAGTCCATGTCACCTGGATCCAGTTGTGACAACTGCACTGTCACTTGCATTTCTGCCTTTTGGTTCCAGAAGGACATTTATTGCAGTCCAATATACCACAGGCTTATGGAGACAGGTCAGAGTTGGTGGTGTAACTGTGGAAGAAATTCTCCACAGTGTATGGAGCCACTTGCAGAGGCATGTCTGAGGTTATGCTTATGTCCACTTTGGTCTCATCATAAATTATTAAATTTGGTACTGCACCCAACTGACCTCTTGAATTTGCCTTCAGAGTAGTAGAGTTGTTGCTAAACAGAATAGAATTGATTTATAGAGCTGGATTGATGTCTAAACTATTCCTGCTATGTTGAGTCTTTAGCAATTAATGTTCTGTACCAAAAGCACAGTGATAGGTAAAATTAACCTGCCCATTTGAAAAATAAAACTTCTAAGGCAGCTGCAGTGGCCTACAGTCACCAAGTTACTGAGTGCTTGGTTTAAGTCATTAAGATCTGTAACTTGTATTCCTCTTGCAAACATTTTCTTGAGCAAATCACATGGTACAAGTCCAAGGTGAAAACTTGAGGTTTTATTTTTCATGCATGAAAAGCTGTAGCAACATTGTGGTGTATTATTTAAGAACAATTCCCTGTGAGTTTACTGTAGCTGTCTTTGCAACCACCATGTCTAACACTGCAAGATTTCTCTCAAACACTACTTCTGTTTTGTGTTTCATCTTGATATAAACTTTTGTAAAACAGCATTCAAGTTACAGGAGACTTTTCTTTAAAAAAAAAAAAAATCCTTGTTAATTTTTTTTTTCTGACTAAATTTTACTTTCTGCTAGGGAAATAGTTTTTGAAAGCATGTTTGTCTGTGATGAGATATGCTTAAGAAAAAGTACTGGAATGTTTTCTCTGTATTGTATTTTTATATATATGTCTGTATAGATGTGTGTAATTATGTAAATTATAAGGTAAAGGTGACTTTGTTAAACCAGCTGCCAAGACTCAAGTTACATGCAGGGCTGTAGTTTTTCATCCCATTTCCCTATTACTCCATAAACTCTCCAGGGAAAGTGTTTAATCTCTTAGCTACTCGTGTGAACTCTTAGACATTGATGCTCAAATTTAATCTTATCAGCAGTAGTAAAGTAATCCCCCTCTCTGGTAAGAGAAGCATATCCTCTTTACTTGTGGGGTGTCTCAAGTCTACAGCATTACTGTAAACTTTATAAGTTAGATCAAGGATTAGCTAATATGTTCCTGAATCATCTGTTCTCTTTCAACAGATATCCAGCAGGCTTTGTATGAGCTTGCATACCACGTTGTCAGAGGGAACTTAAAGCATGACCAAGCTTCTAATGTTCTTGGTGATGTCATAGTAAGTATAGACTTGTAATAATTGCAAACTTACTATGGTTTTTTTTGTCCAAATTTTAAAAGTCTGAATGAAAACCAAGTAGGATAATGTTCAACAGACTTCTTTTTCCTTGTCTAAAAAGTTACTTCATGCCAAGTCCTTTTTCTTCATTTGTGTGCATTTGAAATATATGTAAGTCTTTCAAGGTTTCATTTTATTCCCCTGCTTTTTGTGGTGAGGAATAGATACATTCATTCTACCATAAATCGAAAATGTAGTAATTCTTTAAGGGCATATAAAGAATAAAGCTTTTAAGAAATGCTAAGACAATTTCACTTGGTGATGCAGCATGTCTGTAATGCCACCTACTGGTTTTTATAGTTCACATCTTAGTGTAGCAGTGTGCATGTCTGCCATTTTACTGTTGAGATATCTCAGTCTTTTAACTGCCTTTAAAATAATGCATTTTTTAAAGTTTTTTCTTAAAATGCTTTGAACAGAGAAAGTAGGGAATAGTGTATTTCCCTCTTAACTTCTAAGGTTACCAAATGTTGGTGTTCATAAAAGACAAAACAATCACAAAAAAAACCCAAACAAAAACATATATATAAAAAAATTCAAAAATTACTACTTCTTCTGAGTTCTTAGACTTCTGGTTTGATATGTGTAAAATGTATTAAGAAAAAAATGTTTTGTGTATAAAATACCTTAAAATGTTTTGTTTTGTTACATACCAATAACTAGTACAGCACTTGTTAGACATTACTCAAGAATTGAGCCTCTTATTTTTTGATCTCTACTATTATTATTGATATCTTAGTAAAATATTCTACATACTCTGAATTTACCTAACGGTGACCCGTTGTGTTATGTAAGGGGATAAGACTTCCCGAGGGGCCCGTGCTGGAGTTTGCACTCCTGAATGTGCTCTTTGCCCTTTTCAGGAGTTCCGGGAAGAAATGCCTTCCATCCTAGCTGATGTGTTCTGCATATTAGGTAAGCTGGGTTCCCTCCTCTACAGCACTGCAACAGATTTGGAGAAATACATGTTTTGTGGGCTTGTTGACTCCTTCAGGAAATTCCACTAGATCTGTAAAGCAGGGCTTCTCTTTACAAAACAGTTGCTTCTTCCTGAATGTATCGGTGGCTCAGCTGTAACATCTTTTTGTTCTGCATTGTTGTGTTACATTTTCCAGACATTTAGCTATCAAAGGCAGTGGAAACTGATGTGCCCAGAACAGTTAAAGCAGCTAGCTTGTAAGAATGTTACAAGTTTTGCACTCACGTTAATGACTTGGCGTTGTTACTGTTCTTCTCAGTGTACTAAATAAAAGTTGGCTTACTGGTGGCTGGATCCTCTATTCTCAGAATATACTCTAAATATTTAATCTGTGGAGTCCCTCATAGTGAAACAGCTTGTATTAATTGTCCAGAAACCTAGAAGCAAATAACATAATTTCCCAAGTTACTATCCACCATCTGAGCAAGCTTTGATGTTGTCCACTTAATATTGTGGTAATAACCTGTGTAGTGTTGGCCCAAAGCTGTTGCTCTCAGGTTTTTAGAATTTTAATCTGTATACATTTTTTTCCAGATGATAGAAACCACTAGCACTTGAAACTATCTTGTTCTATGTCTCTTTTTTCAACAAATTTTTGCAAATTCTTTTGGTAGCCTGCTGCTCAACACAGGTCCTGGTTTGTTCTGTGCTGCAGGAATGTGGTTTTGGTGCTGTGGGTGCCTCTGCAGAGAGGCACCTAATGAAGTTTGCAAAATGCAGCCTTGCTTCTGTAACATCTAAATGATGTTTGACTTTATTTATAGAATCAAACTCATGAATAAAGCAGTGTTTTAAAATAGAGGTTTTTTACATTTCTCTTCTTTGACTTTTTTCTCCTGCCCTTCAAATGTCTGTGGCCAAATTCTGAACCTTCAGTAGCAGCAGAGAAAGTGTTGTTTAGCAGCTAGGTTTCAAATGCTGGGACGAAGGACATTTGACAATCTTTTCTTCTCTTGTTTTTAATGAGTTTCCTCTAAAACTTTTTTCCTTTAACCAGTGTTTTCTAGTATCAGGATTTTTTTTCCTGATGTCATTGTCTTATTGTTAAATCAAAATTATCATATGTTGAAACATTATCAGCTTTCTCCACTCAACCACTTTCCTTGGGCTAATTTTTTTTTTTCCTGCAGATTCCTCTTTGGCTAGAGACTTGGCTGCTAGGGTCCAGACTAATCTGCCAAATTTGTTGCCTTTATTGCCCCAGTATCACCTGTTGCTTTTCAGTCTGTTTAGGGGCTTTATTGTTAATGTTTTCTTTATGGGTCTAGTTTTTCTGTGGGTATGATACAGTTCTTTTCAGTGATCTGTATTTACCTTCTTTTAAGCTTATTGATTCTTAGTGCCAACCATAAACTTTATTACAGTGGGGAGAGGGCAAGAAAAAATATTATGGTATTGCTCTGGTTTCTCATTTACCTTTTAATGAGATTTGTGGTTGTGTTTGAATTGTCATCAGAGTATTATGTGAGCCTCAAGAGTTGGTGGATAGCTGGAAAACAGCAAGAAACGAGCGTGTTATAAGCAAGCTTCTTTGCATTGTGTTACCATTAACATTTGTCAGGATAGTTAATATAAGAAGAAACGAATTCCACAAGCAATGATTTTTTGTTTTCCTTTCTAGACATTGAAACAAGTTGCTTAGAAGAAAAAAATAAGAGGGATCACTTTACCCAACTGGTGTTAGCCTGTTTGGTAAGCTGCACATAGAAGGTCTTTTGGTAGAAGTATATACCAAAGCCTGACAAGAGTTTTGAAGCTTGCTGTTTTTTTCCCCTTTTTCTAAGAAAGGGACTATTAAACTATTTTAACAAATTACCATGTAATTTAAAAATGCACCTTCAAAGCTTTACAGTAAAGTAATCTAGTATAGTTGTACCTTTAATTCTTTGAAGAGGTTTGAGAGAACTTGTATTTTCTCTGTCAGTTCAATGGAAGTTTTGTTTTTGACACGTTTTGAGTTGGAGTTCTTTATGCAACCTCCTCTGTCAGGTGGTTTCTAGGTCTCTGTAACTGACAAATATTATGGATGTGTTTGGTGTTTTGTAGTACCTTGTATCGGACACTGTCCTAAAGGAGCGCTTAGATCCAGAGACGTTGGAGTCCTTGGGGCTTATCAAACAGTCTCAACAGTTCAATCAGAAATCCGTTAAAATAAAGACAAAACTATTGTAAGTCTTGGAGTTGTTTGGGGAGTGGGTGGGAGGGGCAGTGGTAATTAGTCTGGTAACCTGTGTTCTAAGAATGTGTAATGTTTCTTTTAATACTCAGTTTTCTTTGGGAAATGTTTTGTTGCACTTAGTTTCCAAACTCCTGAGAAATGTAAAATATGTTTTGATGTCACCTATTGCTATGGCATTTGCTACAATTTCTTATGTGCAGTTTAAATACTTAGTATTTAATTTTATTTGTGACAAACGTGAACTTAATGTGTAAGAAAATGAATTATTGTTGTTGCATCAGTTAAGTATAGGCATTTGTTTGCATAAAGAAGCAAATGTAGTGCTATTCGTTTTGGCAACAGGGGATGTGTTCTTGTGGCTGTGCTTATTGTTTTTTGTCTCTGCATCCAACATTTCAGTCTCAATCTCAACACCACTTGAAACTAGAATAGGTCCCTAAGCAGGGACTGTTACAGAGCAGTTCTCCAGCACAGTGTGTAAGAACAAGCTTTACTGTTAAGTATAAGCATAATCTTGCTTTTAAATGGTCTGTATTTGAAATAAAGAGCCAAGTTTGTTTGGAGAATGCTTGCTACCTTGCAGATATTCATTGTAGTGCAATCAATTTTTTACAATAGTTCAAGTAAATTGCAATTTCTTAATATGTGTTCAAAATTACCATTTTGTGTGTCAGTTTTAATACTGATAAGAGCATAAATAAGCTTCATTGTGGGCATGTTGCACAATAGTTTAATTTCTGTTTATTTGCAGTTATAAGCAGCAGAAGTTTAATTTGTTAAGAGAGGAGAATGAAGGCTATGCAAAGCTCATTGCAGAACTGGGGCAAGACTTATCTGGAAATATCACTAGTGATTTAATCCTTGAAAATATCAAGTCTTTAATAGGTAAGGAATTTGTTGAAAGAGTATGGGCACTGGTTTCCCTGCATGGTCTTACGGTTACAATGACTGTAGACTACTGTGTGAGGTCATCTGTGGATCAAATATGTCATGCACGTGTGGAGTGTGGTGGTAAAGAGTATTGGTCTCAGTTTAGAGACTGAATTTGTTACAGCCTCAAATACACATGCTATGGTTTCAGTTCACTTCAGCAGTGTTTTTTGAGGATGCACTTGTCAGGCAGATTGGACTGTAACAGAGGAATGCTTTTTGCTGTTTTCAGGTGCTCAAAGTCAATGTGTGAATGTTCTTTTAGTCTTAAAGAAGTTGAACAAGTGATTCCTTACAAAGAGAAATGAGAAGCAGTAAATGTTCTCACTTTAGTTCTGATTGTGATTTGTCCATATTTCTCATTTGAGTCTTCATGAGCATCACAATTGAAGCGCAAAGTACATGAAAACCAGGAAATATCTGTAATTCCCCATGTTTTACAGTTCCTTTTTGGATAAAGTTTTATATGTTATATCGATGTTTGGACCAGTGCCTGTTTCCTATGGTACCAGTTCAGTAATGGTCAAAAGGCTATGCTACTGTTATATAAGAGATAAAACCCTGTCTATCATAAATTAAACTGCCAAATCCCTGTAATAATACCTGTTTTGGAGGAGGGCTAGAGAAGAGGATGATTTTGCTAGTTATTACAGTAAAAAATACACACCAAGTTTGAGGATTTTTATAACAAACTATTTTTCTGTCTTCTGGAATTTTAGGAATTGCAGATAGACTTCCTATAAATTGTCAGTTCTTGTAAAGTACTGACTTGCAGTAGGTCCTGGTGTAGTGGAAATGGCTTTTGGGATGGGAAGACTGATGCAATTACATATCTGCATAGTGGATGTGCCTGGATAAAACTTCTCATGGCACAATGAAGAAAATAGTCTAGATGTGGATTCTTTTGGTAGAAGTAATATTTCTGTCTCGAGCATTTCCACCAGAACTCCAGGAGACAAGTTTATGTAGTAAGATACAGGTACGATTACAACATTGGGTTAAGCTGATCTATATCCTTGCTTTTACTCCTCTCAAAATAAACTGTTCTCCCTAATGCTAGCAGTAGTCTTGGATTGACAGGGCAGGCTTAAACATGAACAATTTTTAGGGTGTAAAATAATTTCTAGCTGACTGATAAGTGTGACTGCATAAATGTGTGCTGGCACAAGGGGAGAGGCAGCAGCCCATGCCATGGCACTGTGATGTTAGTGAGGTTGGGTTCTTATTTATTAAATGTTTCCCTTTAGGATGGTAATTTCTAGTTTTTCTGTAATCACATTGAACGTCCTGTTTAATCTTTGCCTAGGCCAATACTCCACAGATGATATGGACTATTTTGCTGTAGATAAATCCAGGCTCAATTTTAACTGAAAAGAATTATCTTGAAAAAGTGTGTGTGGTTTAGTTGCAGAAGGAAGATGACAAGTAACAATATTAAGCTTTTCTACTCTGTTCTTCTCCACTAGGATGCTTTAACCTTGATCCTAACAGAGTTTTGGATGTTATCCTAGAAGTCTATGAGTGCAGGCCTGAGTATGATGACTTCTTTGTACCACTGATAGAGTCTTATATGTACATGTGTGAGCCTCAAACTCTATGCCATATCCTTGGGTTCAAATTCAAATTTTATCAGGTAATGTATTTTCATTCTTCATCTTTGGTTTTAGTGGCTGGTTGTACTCAGTGGTGAACTGCAATCAGTGATAACACTTTTTTGATGCATAGGTTTTTTTTTTTTTTTTTTTACATAGAAATAAACTTCTGAGTTGTAAAATACCAGTATTAAAAGCAGTAATTTAATGATTTCTGTGGAAGTACCTAATGCACAGACAGAAGGCTGTAAACTGTCTTCATATTTTCAGTTTAAACTTGTATAATTATAGGAGGACTGGCATTAATGGAAAGATTATATTTGAAAACAAAAGATTTGTCCCTGGGAGTGAAGAGTTTGTTTGTAAGGGAGTCATGGTTGGTATTTGTTAAAATATTCAAGGTTTTTTTAGATATATGGTTAGGAATTGGATGTGGGTGCCATAAGTTGTGAAGATAATGGAATGGTTTTGTTTCTGGAAATTGTGATTGTGTATTGCAGTTAAGTCTAGTGGCTTTGGAGTAATGGCAATTAATAACATAATAAGGAGAACTGTTGGTTGATATGTTTATCTTAATGTTGAGTAGTTTCTGTTTCATGACCTGCAGAAATGTCTTTTTTCTTAATTTGCAATCTTGTCCTTTTTAGGATCCAAGTGGGGAGACACCTTCCTCCTTATACAGAGTTGCTGCTGTTCTCCTGCAACATAATCTCATTGATCTGGAAGATCTTTATGTTCATGTAAGTGACATTGCTAGTCTGTCAAATGTCAAAAACCTAAGAAAATTTTTTAAAAGCCAGATTTTTTTTACCCTATTCCTACAGCTTTACAGAGCATACTCTGTAATATTTATATATGTACATATTTCATGTCTTAAAACTTCCAGGACTTTCTGTTGCTGCCTGTTCATATAAACACACACTGAAATATGAATGCTGATGCACTTGTTAAAATTAGCTGTGTAGCCTACTCAGGATTGTTTATCTCCTGTCTGAATAGGAGACAGGAGGTAAATGCCTGAGTAACCTTCCACAAGAACAAGAGCCTTTGAGTGTTTTGCTTTACAAGATCAGTTTTTGGAGAAGTTGGCAGGATACAGTTCTTAACACTGTCTAGTTTAATAGTAGGATTTTTTTAAATTCTTACCTGTTCCTGAATAGGTGTCTCATGCAATCTACAAGAATCCTGGCTGCTTGTTAGATTGAAAAAGGAAAATAGAGTTACATGTTCTGATTTCAGCAGAGACTTACCCTCTCCAGTCTGACAGTCTTGGCAACCAACCAAGATGCTAGTGTGGCTGATGGTAAACAGAATGTTGCAGTTATCAAAATAATTTTACATTATACATGAATTTTAAATTTAAGAATATCCATAGATATTTTAAGACTTGTAACTCTTCCACTGAAATCAAGGAAATGAGCTCTAGTTACAGCTAGGGAAATTCTGGGATGTAGTCCTGCCATTCTGGCAGTTAATAGCATTAGTCACAATATGACTTGTCAATAACTGTCTCTGGCTTCATAGGAGTGTTTTGGCTCCAAATTGCCAGGTGGAACAGGAGTAGGAGTGGGTGTCCTGGGTAATGGGTGTGGAATATTGGGAGGAATGCACAATAGTAGTGTTAGTTTGTTAAGGAATGTCTCCAAGCTTACAAAACAAATGCTCAGACAGAATTACAGGGACCTGTGCAGTCTCAGCTCAGACCTGTGCAGGTATGGATGTGTTTCCTGACAGTCTCACAGCTCAAGTGCTCCCTGCATTCATCTCTACTGCTCACCGTTTGTCAGTTCTCAGTCTCACTTTGAATCTACGTTCATTCCAGAATCTCTCTGGCAGTCTCTCCATCTTTGCACGTTTGGAATGACATTTTTTTCCTCTTTTCAATTCAGGCTTAATTTAACTTGCCATGGGAGTTTCGAAAAAATAATTAGTGTGTAGGTGTTGAGTCTTAAGTGATATATGTTGTGTGGCTGCTATGCAATAGCAGCTGTCAGGATTATCATTCATATCAAGAACATGCTCCCTTTCTTTCCCAAGCCTGTAAGAACCATTCTCTGATTGCGTATATGCACACACATGTATGTATTGCTGGCAGGATCTACCCCTTGAACTAGATGTTTCCTTAAACCTTTTACCTTCCTCAGTGGGATTCTCTCTTCCCCAAATTTCTATGAAATCGAGGAATTGTATCTTTCCTCTGAAATGAAGTCTTTACTTCTACTGTCAGTTGGGAGGAGAAAAAAAATCGGTAAAAATCTCCCCTTGTTAAAGACGAGAAGAAAAGATTACTGTATCAAAGAGGTCATGACTCTACGCGAGTTTTGATTCTTCATTTGCAGTTAAATTTTGAGCATGTTTCTAGGAATCAAATTGAAGTTTGGTTTTGTCAGAGAAAAGCTTTTCTCCTGTCTCACAACCTGACCTTTTAATTTTCAAGTGTAGGGTTATCTTCCTCACCCTAATTGTTCTTAAGTATCAGACCACTTAGGTGTTACCATACTGGGTATCTCCTTAATGTAAGATGGTGTTTAAGGAACAGATGTTACATGTGTTTAAGTCACATTCATGATAAATACAAAATTTGGTAACCTTTACATGGTATTCCTTCAAGATAAAGTACAATTGAAATGTGTGTCTAGGTAATTTACCTGGTTCTCCTTGATTATTTTTATTCTCCTTTAGATGAACAAATGAAAATTTATATGCTGTTGAATATTCACTTTGTTTTGAGGGACTGACTTTTGTACATGTTATCAAGTGTGTGTAATTGTCACCTGCACGTTCAGCTGTAGCTGAATGGTAAACTGGGAAAGGGAAAGGAGAAGTTACACAACTAATGGCTGTGAGGCAGTAGAACAGTATTTCTTAGGAGTCCTTGATTTAAGAATAGTCTTTTTCTAGTGCACTTCCTTGTTGGGGTGATGGTGGCAGGAAAAAAAAATCTACTAGGGAGCAAGTTTCTCTGATTAGCAACAAGCAAGCACAAAATTCTGCATTGAGCTGAAGTGATCAGTAACAGTAGCTCACTTCAATTGTCAGATCTAATGTTTGTTCTGTTTTTTCCAGCTTCTTCCAGGGGATAACACCATTATTGAGGAGCACAAGCGGGAGATAGTGGAAGCCAAGCAAATAGTCAGAAAGCTTACAATGGTTGTCTTATCCTCTGAGAAGGCTGAGGAAAAGGAGAAGGAAAAAGAAAAAGAGGAGGAGAAAACTGAAAAGGTGTGTGTGTGAATAGGTTATTTACAAAAAATTATTTTAAATCCTTTTAAACTAACAATTGTTATGAAAACATTTTTATTTTTAGACAGGTAGTTACTTCTTGAAAGGTTTGTGTCCATCCTCTGTCCTTCTGTTATATTAAACATGCAGAAATGCAGGGTTTGGGTATTGTTCTGGATTTTCATAGGTTTAATGTTCTTGGTTCTAATTAATTTTTTTCCTCCCTTTTTTGCTGTATGAGCTCCACTATGTGTGTACGAGCTATACTTTAGCTGTTCTTACGCTTTACAATCTTTAACAATTGTTTTCTAGGACCTGTGATAATATAATCCTAGTCGATTCCTTAAAAATAGGGACACTAAGAGTCCATTCTGTATTTTTCTCCATCAAGACTTTGGATATAAAGAATTTCCAGACTTACCTATTCTTGTATAGTTATACTGCATTGTAGCAAAAGTTTTTAATGGAGCATTTTTACTTGTAATATTTCTCTGCCCTTTCTGTTAGATCTGTATCTTTGTATGTGTAGATGTATACTCTTTCTTTAAGGTGCTACTGTGTCACATTGTTGGTGTTGCCCTAGATCTAAGTTGTTTCAGTGTGTTCAAGCCTTCCTTGAAAAACAATTATTTAATCTCTCAGCAGCCTTTCTGTTCTGGTCTTCATTTGAGTGTTGAAGGAGTGCTCAAACATCTTATTTAAAACAAAAGAAGTAAAATAAAAGCTTGATATTTGTGTTTTATAAGTGAGGTACTGGATAGTGAGGAGAGGTGCATCAGTCTTGACAGCTTCTGTTCTCTTCTGTAATTCTGGATTCATTGTATCAGTCTGTTTTGTCTATTTACCCCTATTTATTCTACCCCACTTTGATTCTGTACATCTCTGACCCTTCTCCTTCCTGCAAGTTTTCTTGCCTAGCTTGAAAAAAATCTAACTTTTTCTTCTCTCTGCTCTCTGGCTCTCAACCACAGTCACATCTGCAGCTTTAGGTTTCTGACTTACCTCTCACTCATTTAAATATCCCTTTTGGTTGTATAGCCACATTGCTCTGGTCCAGCCTCTGGAGTATGCATGTTCACCACATTCTGATGGAAAACTGAACTCTTGATGGGACATGGGGTGTGTATGTGCTGCAAGCAGTGTCAGAAGAATGAAGAGAGATTTTAGGGCTAAGCTTTAGAATTAAGAACTAGGGAATTTTAAGCTCTATCAAAGTACAACATTTTTTCTGAAGGATTACAATGACAACAAAGTCTGAGCCTGCGTGATGGGGAAAATGGAGAGCTGTACTTAAAGTTTTCTGTGACTCTTTGCACACTGTTAGGCAATGTGTGCTGGTTCTGGTGAGGTTCACTTCTGTGTTAGTGTGTTTGTATGTGATTAGCTGTGCAAGTCACAGCAATTAGTAGAGTATTTACACGTGGAAGCTGTTGACAGTCTAAATTTGGGTACTTTGTATCCAGCATATAGTTTTAACATACAATCTTTGCTACAGTAGCATGGAATAAATGCCTGGGTAAGGAAAACTGGTTAATAATTACTGACCTACTTTTTAAATCCAGAGTGTTTATTTTGTCTAGTTAAAATTTATTGCTGTCTCATGCCTCTAATATGAATAATTTAGCCTTGACAAATGCATTACTTACTTTTGCCTTCTAAGATGCATTTGATGTAACCAAATAATAGGGAGGTAGCTGAGAGGTCACAGACCTCAGCAGTGTGACTGCGTTTGACAGCAATTCCACAGCTGACACATCTGTGCTGTGCATGCTCTTGCTTTTGGAGAGTGTGTTCCAGAAGAGATCACTTACCTAAAGAGAGGCCCAGTGAAGCAGTGTGTGTGTGTGTGTGTGTGTGTGTGCACAGAGTGCTTTGGAAATGAAATGGCTTACTAACAACATAGCCTAGGGAAGGCTGCGTGGGTAGAACAGGGATTCTAATACAGTCAATAAACACCCAAAACCCCAAAATCACTAGAAACTTGGGTTCAGTATCAAACTTTAACTGATACGTTCATACCAATTAACTAACCACTATATTTTTTTTTTGCAATAACATGACTTAATTTTAGAAGTGTTGTACTGAATGTGATTTTTAATCTTCCTGCATACACTGCACAAGTGAAGTTTTTGAACACTTCAGTAAAGGATCAGTGTAGTCTTTTGTCAACACAGTATATATTGACTTAAGACAATCCTTGGCCTCAAAGGAACTTGTAGTTACATGGCAAAGTAACCTTAGTGTAGTAGTGTTGTGTTTCTAATTGCACATGCATGTCTTTAATCTTGCAGAGACTCATCTTGTTCTGATATGGAGCTATTTTTTTCCAAAAGAGAGGCTAAAATTTCATTAAAGTTCCACATGAATATAGACCAGATCTGTGCACTGTGTGCTGTTCTGAAACTCTCCTTTGCACATTCCTGTGTACCAGACAGTTTTGGAAATAGAAAGCAATCAGAAAAAGTTGCCAGTGTTATAAAGAAGTTTTAAAGGGGGGAAGAAAAAAAATCTATATGAGCTATAGAACCAGAGAAGTGTTTGCTTTCTAATTAATTCTTGTTCTTGACAGTCTGTCTGGCCTAAATCAAGGATTTTTTTGCCTTAACATGCTTAAACATTTTGTGCTAACTTGTAATCTTCCCTCCCTTGGTGTAAGCATCATTTTAGGCTTGTAGCTAAATACAACTAGTATTAAATACAGCTAGTACAGTTGATACTCCTTACTGTTAGTCATTTACAAATAGATCTTTACTTTGGGGACTGGGGAAAACCCATTTATTGCAATAAGATATATCAGTAGCATACTCATGTGTAAATGCTTCAAGGTATGATGTTAATTGTAAACTCCTATTTCCTCTTATGCCTATATTGCAAAATGGGGTATTTGAAAAACTTGCTGTGGACTTGTACTTAAAAGTGGGCTCTCCTAGAGCAGATGGTACTATGAAACTCAGGATTCAGGCAAACTAAGACAGGTAAAGGTTTTGGGTTTGGTTTGGGGCTTGTTTTTTTCTTAAATCTGATTTTTGCAAGAGAGAGTTGTGCTTTTAAATCCAGAACACAAAGAATTCTTAAATGCCTCATTGTTCTTAAAATGCCATGTAAAGAAATAAGCTGCATTTTGAAAAGTACATGATAAGACATATGTCAGCCAGCTTTAAAACTTCTACCTTTTTTTCTGTGATCCAGATGTTAGATTCTACGTGGGCTGGCTTATTATTGCTTTTCAGGTGTGCTTATTGTCTAAATACCTAGCTGAATTTTATTTTACATAGGTTTTTTTTATTACATGGTTGAAATACCAGTTTTTTTTTCTAGCTTTGGATTACAACTGTATACAGCTTAAGGAGAAATATTAAGATGACTTTATGAATACACTTTATAATTAATTGTTTGTTGTCTTGCAGCCTCCTGATAACCAAAAGCTTGGTTTATTGGAAGCTTTATTAAAAATTGGTGATTGGCAGCATGCACAAAGTATTATGGACCAGATGCCTCCCTTTTATGCCACTTCACACAAGTCTATTGCAGTTGCCCTTTGCCAACTTGTACATGTGACAATTGAACCTCTGTACCGCAGGTAAAGGGAGAAGCAGAGTTCTGTTGATACTATTTACAAACATGAATTAACAAGCTTAACTGTAATGATACATTCCTAAAACTTTCCACTCTGTCTCATGTGAAATGCCACATGTCTTATTTTTCAGAGTTGGTGTACCTAAAGGAGCTAAGGGGTCACCAATTTCTTCTTTGCCAAACAAGAGAGCACCAAAACAAGCAGACAGCTTCGAGGAGCTGAGAAAGGATGTGTTCAACATGCTGTGTTACCTCGGGCCTCATCTCTCCCATGACCCCATTTTATTTGCAAAAGTGGTGCGCCTTGGAAAGGCTTTTATGAAAGAGGTTGGTGTGACAGGACAACTTATCAAAACATGGAAAAATACCTATTTCTCAGGTGTCAAAAAATGCTCAGGTCTTACTAATTCTGTATGTATTTGAATACTGGAACAAAAAATTTCTTTGACTAAGAACAAATTTGGAGAATATTAATTCTTGACCATTTTTATCATGAATACACATAACAAACATTTTTACTAACAGCTTAAGGAGCTTTGTTTGTAACCAGGAATATTTAGTGAGAACTATTTTTCATTTTGTTCTTCATCTTTTAAAACGTGATCTGTGCATGGGTATTTTAAAAAAAGATGGACCTATGATAGTAATTTTGTGGAAGCTTTTACATTATTAGAGCAATAGTGCAGACAATGGGGAACAATAACCTATGACATCAATACTTCAAATTGTATTTTGTTCACCAGTTAAGTTACTTGTGAAGTAGGGGATGTTGCATCTTTTTAATTAGTGGGGTGTCCCCCTGTTTGCCAGTTAAAATGCTGCTGTTCTTGAATTTGTCAGTCACACATCTCTGGTTGCCACTAAGGGTGGGTTCTATGTGGAGAACTAAAACATCCTATAAAGCCTTAAGTTGGCCACTTCAGGAATAAAATGGCCTCTAGAGATTTCTTTTATCTTTTGACCATATCTCTACTACATATATACTGAAAGATTGGTGATATGACCTGTTCTGAAAGGCTGCAAGTTGCATTTATATTCTGAACTCCCTTTGATGTACTCAGTAGCTAAGACTGAGGTTAGTGATTTCTTTTGCTGCTTTTCTGGCCATTTGCTATTTGACTAGCAGCTTTTGTTTTATTTGCAAGCTGACAATACTGTTTTATTTTTTTAAATAGCAGTTAAAAGAAACTTTGGAATTTGTAGTTTTTGACTAAAAAAAAAAAAAAGTTATACACCCCTGCCCTTAACTTAGAAATCTTTGTCACTTAGCTTTTTGCTTTAACCTGCAACTGGAAGTTAGAGACATTGGTTGATCTAAATTATAATGGAGGGGATATTTTTACTTTTCTGCTTTTCTTAAAAGTATTTTTGGTTTTAACTACAACTAACAAATATTGGAATGCTCAAAATTTACATACCTCCTGAGGGGCAGCTTTCATGTCCAGCTGCACTTGCTGATGCCGAGCTAAGAACACATAATCCTTGGGATCCAAGATCTTTGTCTGATTTAACAGACTTTGGCAGGAGTTTGCTCTCATCAGGTTCTGAGATGCAATGATAGGGTGACAGAAGCTCCAGTAAGTTTGGTTTCCAAATAATCTTTGTAATATGTTCATGATAACTTGAAGCATTTCCATCTTCCTCTTTTGCCATATCTCTGTAGGAAATGCAATTTCTCAGCATCTTAAACACAACGATAAGGTTTCCCAATGGTTAATACTCTTGCTTTGTAGCATGCTTATGTCTTGCTGGCCTGTGAGAAGATTGATATTTGAGTGATATGCTGTGTTGTACTCACTGTGCAGTTAATTTGGAAATTATAATTTCAAGAGGGTAATTAATTTTACTGCTGTCAGCAGACCATTATAACTATTTTGTAATTAAGTTCAGGTACTGAAGGCTTATAAGAAAGCTCTTGTTACTTTGTGAATGCATAAGTAGAATGGAGATTACTTGGTTATAGGAATGTCTTGTGCAGTTTTATTGTAAATATATGAATATAACAGTTTAATGTGTTTCTGACAAGAATGAGCAACATTTTAGCTATTTGCTCTAGGTTGGAACTATGAAGAAATTCGTCAGTGACAAAGTGGTTAAGGTAACATAGGGAAAGTTATTTTTAATGCACTATTGCCATCAGCATGTTCTAGTTATGAAACTACATTTAACACACAGTAGAAATACTTATAACTGAGGTGAATTGACTATAAGTTAACCTGTACAGTAGTTTAAAAGTTAGACTACTAACAATGCACTGCAGCTTTCATGCTCAAGTGTACTTTTAAAATAATAGTGCACTTACTGGTGTGGTAGCTTAATATGCTTTTCATGGTGAGTGGAGCAAGAAGAGAGAAAAAGTAATAATGAAGACAAATCTTAGGAGGATGTTGTTGTAAGATGAAGGTGGGGAAAATAATCTGTGGCTGTTGATAATTGGGTTGAGAGTCCTGGGGTTTCTTTAGGTGGAAGGTGAATGCTTAGGATATTTCTTTTCTTCTCTCCAGTAAGAAAATCCAGTAATTTGTATATAATAGTAAGCTTCCTTGGCATTTTTATCATCACCTCTTTTTGAACAAGTGTAAAAAGCTTGTATGTATGTAAGCAATGCTTTTTTTGTGTGTGCATTCGAATTTCAGTTCAAAAGTGCCTTGATGCTGACAAATCTGAGAAATTAAAACATTACTAGGCATGTGATGCTTCAGGTTTATGCTTTTGCTGAGGTAGCCTTGTTCTGAAACTTCAACTGTTACATTAATTATGCTGCAATTAACTTAATTTGTCTTTGTTATAGTTTCAGTCTGATGGAAGCAAACAGGAAGATAAAGAGAAAATGGTGAGATTATGTGAGATTGTAATTGAGACCAGAAGTTTAATAACTGTACAGTTCTTCCTGCTCTGTAGAGTTTTATGCTTTAACAAATGCACTTTATAGATTTGTCTTTTTTTTTCCTAGGGAAGTTTGAGCCAGTCATACGTGTGGATTTTTGCATTCTTGTTCCTTTTTCCTATATTTTTGTCTCCTTCTTTCCTCAAACCTGATCTTGTTCTTTTAGTCAAATGCATTCTACTTATTTGCTCAGAATCTGCTGCTGTAACTCCAACCGTTTATTCTATAAATACACTTTCCATGGTGGCACCTTGTCTCTTAAAGAATTTACTAGGCAAAAAGCATATTGAAAAAGAGGATTTAGAAGGAGTGGAGGTGTTTAATAGTACAATGGATATTTTTTATTTATTGTCCAATTTATTTCTTTCTAAATTTACTAGTTTATTGAATTATTAAGATAGGTCACAATGAAACCCACATGTTTTTATAAGTTAGATCTCAACCAGACAAGTTGGATAGTTTAGTCAACAAGCAAGTTTTCAATAAGATGCTTGCACAGTTTTCATGATTACTTCACTTATTACTTATTACTCCTGTTTCTCACTTGTGATTTCCTGACTTCTCAAATCACTGCAGATAAAATGAGTCTCTTCTGTTTTTTTGGTTTTGCTGCTATCGTTATTCTAACATAGTTCAGTGAGAAAGAAATGTTTAAGAAAGGGGCACGATAGGATGCTGAATTTAGTACTGTGCCTTGGGAACATGTATAATGGCTTCAGGTTTTAATACATAATTTTAAAATGGAAGTAGTGGCAACGAATACCTTAATACATAGAAAACAGTTGCCAGTGTCTCCTTTCTGTTGCCCTTCATTCAGGTTCACAGTACATCTATTTTAAAATTATTTATTTGAAAATTAGTGTTACTTGCTGAAAACTTCAGCAGCATAGGGCCCATGAAATATCAGCAGTATTAAAGAACAGCATTGCTTCTAGTGTACTTACTTGATAGTCACCTCGAGTTTTGTCTCTCTCTCAGGAGATCCTGTTTAGCTGCCTGCTGAGCATTACGGATCAAGTCTTGCTTCCATCTCTTTCTCTGATGGACTGCAATGCATGCATGTCTGAGGAGTTATGGGGAATGTTCAAAACTTTCCCATACCAGTACCGGTGAGTAGGATAACTTGTTTCCATTCTTTGGAAGTTCTCTCTTGAATGGTCTGTACTAAAAGCAGCTCTCCTCTGTCATCTTTCGAGGTACCGCCTTTATGGACAATGGAAGAACGAAACGTACAACAGTCACCCACTCCTGGTGAAAGTGAAAGCTCAGACTATAGACCGAGCCAAATACATCATGAAGTAAGTTAGATGTCTGATTCCATAAATAATGATCAGCTTTGAGATAATGAAGAAAAAAAGATAATGAAGAAAAAACTTGAACAAATACATTACCTTCCTAATGACTCAGTAATTTTATGGATAATCACTGTTCATGAAGTATTCAATGTACTGTGATTAAAAACTAGTAAAGGTACAGACTAATTTGTCACCAGAAGAGTATTTAATCTGTGAATAATGTCCTATTAAATTACTTAAAACCTTTTCCATGGGTATGCTGTTGTTTGATAAATTGCATTGCTTATGGAAATGTCAGAGTGGAACACATTTTCTCTAGGTATAGAGACTTTTTAACCTGAAGAGTCTCAAAAGTCTTGTCAGTTCCTTTCCATAGGTTTGAAAGTAGGACAGTAAGTTGAATGGAATGATTCAGTCTCCTCTTCAGGTGGGCTCACAACAATTTCAGGTTTACCATCTGATGTCATTGTCAGGCATTTGGGTCCTCCATTTGTTGTTGCCAAAAGCAAATGCTGTGGTTTTATAAAGTGGATAATTAAAACCTTTCTACATAGTCCAGACAGAATAATTGTTACTAGGTAAAAAACTTCAGACTTTCAGCCACAGAAGCTAGAAACAATGGTTTTGATTCTTTGGACTTGCTGCCTAGCTAGTACAGGCTGTAAAGATTTACATCTCATCTCTTGTACAGTGGATTTCAGTTGTGCATGAGCCACACACAGCACTGTCAGTTGTTGAGATTGCTGTGTGTACAATTTGATTCTCTGTATAGACTTCAGGTTTCATTTTCAGCTTGTATCTTCAGTAGGGAGTGCTGTGGAAGTGTAACACAATGAAATTTAAATTGTTTTTCAATCAACAGAATGCAACAAATGCAAAATGTTAAAAAGAGGGCAAAAGGGAAAAATATTTGTGCTTAGATTTCTTAATAATGTATCTGCTACTGAGAATTTAATCTGTGACTAATAAGGAACTAATGTGTTGTTTAGTATTCTTTTAGCTTGTTTGTTGCAATAAAATGTTCTCTTTTGCAGGCGTTTAACTAAGGAAAATGTGAAACCCTCTGGAAGACAAATTGGGAAGCTCAGCCACAGCAACCCTACAATTTTGTTTGACTATGTATGTAGTTATGTGTATTTGAATACTATTTCATTCTAACAGCAGATATCAAAGTGTAGAAAGGGAGCTGATATCTAATTTCATTATTTTTTAATTTGGATGTAAGTTTTAAAAATTATGATTTGCTAGTAGTGCACAAGTGTGAGATACTAAACATGACAATAGCTCTTGAATAACCACAACTGCTCAGAGAATTCTATCTGCTTACTTACAGGAGTAAAGTGTTTGATTTGAGGTGGCTGAGGTGGGTCTTGGAGGTACAGGGATGTGCTGATCAGGTTGTGCAGAATGCAAATAGAAGTTAGGTTGCTCTGGGCAATTGAATATTTGTGTGGTGAACGTACATCAGGGTCATGCAGAAGAAAATGTAAGTCTTTTGAAATCTTAAATGCATCTATGAAGTTGGCAAGGGTTTTTCATATTCCTTAGTGCTACAGAATGCTTGAGAGGTGCAAAAGTATTTTGGTGGACCTTTATCTTATTTACAAATGTGACTTATGTTAATTGATCTACCAGTTTTAAGGTTTTACTTGAACTGAATACTGCAATACAGACATGTGCACATGTCACGTACCAAGAGAACATTCTAAAATCTGATAAATAGAGTTTAATTTTATTCTTTCATAACCTAGGTTTGTTTGGTTTTTTATACACTTTTATTATTATAACTAGCAACAGAAGCTCTTACTGCTAATGTTTAGGATTCCTAAGAAATCTTAAACCTGAATTAAATATTCATGGTGTTATTTTCTGATAATTGAAAAGAAAAAATTATACATAATTGTTCCTACATGTTAGAGACATGTTTCACTGATCTCTTTAAGGTACTAGATAAATGAATGAGATTGCCTATTACTTTGAAAGTTGTTCAGCACCTTTTGAAAAATAATTTTCAAAGCCTGTTTTGTGTAGCATTTGAAGACAATCACTGTTAAATAGTTTTGATTTATTACATGAAAGATCATAAATACTGTTCCTGTTCAGCTGAATGTCTTTTGTAACTTTCAGATTCTATCACAAATACAAAAGTATGATAACTTAATAACTCCAGTTGTTGATTCACTGAAATACCTCACTTCACTGAACTACGATGTCTTGGCGTGTATCCTTTTCTGTAAGTCATCTACTTACTGATAAGGTTGCAGCTGTAGCCACATTAAATCTGTTGCCTGTAAGTAATTATTTTTTGTTCCTATTCTTGCTGCTTTGTTGGAAATTTGAGTGAATTTTCCAAATACCTTTGTACTCTTAGTGGGTTGCAGAACTCTATTTGCTCTTTCACACAGTGATACTTGTACTTTATTTTTAAGGGTTTTTTACTACTTTCACTCTGTTCTTGAAGGCATAGTGATCCTGGAAATAGTGAGCTAAGTACTCCTTTTTAAGTTAACATTTCTTCTGTGATTTTTGTTTTTAAATACTGTAACTATGTTAGTGGATCCCTATATCATGCTTGCTATACTTGCTTATGTTTGTATATTAGAAATTGTGGAGCTGGAAAAACAGGTCTGTGTAACTTTTATTTTAAAAATTGAGGAAAAATATTCTCTTTAACTCCACTAAAGACTGTATCATTGAAGCCCTGGCAAACCCTGAGAAGGAGAGAATGAAGCATGATGACACCACAATATCAAGCTGGCTGCAAAGTTAGTATTCTTGTTTTATTTATTACAGTAATATTTAAAACACTTCACCTTCCATATGACCTACCACACTACTGACCTTCGTGATCAGTATTTCACACCCAGCTAATTTTTAAAATGCAACAGAGCTGGCAAGTTTAACCAATGGGAAAAACATTATTATTTTTTTTTTTTCCATTGTATTATAAAAATACCTCTGTTGCTAACATTCCACATGTAATTTGTTAATACTGATTTAGTGATTGGTATCTCCTGCAGTGCAGTCACAGCAGTTTCTCCTTGGTTTAGGTCTGGCCAGCTTTTGTGGTGCTGTTTTCCGAAAATACCCAATAGAACTTGCTGGTCTACTTCAATATGTAGCCAACCAACTGAAGGCTGGGAAAAGGCAAGTCTTGCACGACTGATCTTTATAAACTGAATTTTTATAATGTATTGTTTGGATGTTTACTAATAATGGGTGCTTGATGTAGTAGTACTCTAGTAGTGGTAAAACTCCAGTCATAATATGAGGAGGGTTAAGAAATTTAAATAGCAGAAGGCATAGTACTCTCTGTAGTAAGTTATTTTTCCTCTAATTTTATAGCGGTGACATAATTTTTAAAGTACTGATTTTTCATTTGTAACTTATTTTAATTCCATTTTCCCCAAACTTACGAGATGGAAAAACCCCTTCTGGTCTGTAATGTTTTAGAAATTTTTGTACATTATTTAAAAAGTAATTATCTGTGATATCAAAGGGTGTGACTTAAAGTTTTAGTTCTTTCTTTCTCAGTGTCTTCTCTGCAGGGATGCCTCTTAATGTTTTAAGATTTGAAATACCGTGTCTAATTTATTTAATGGCAGTTGAATTGCTTCTTAATACATTGATGTTAATCGTAACTCCAAAACAGTTTTTAAACAAGGTTTCCCATTTGAACTTTCCCTTTTCCTTCTGTCCTTCCATTGTCATCACTGAGCATTATTGTTTAATTTGTGTATTTTATTTTAATATGTTACTTTTATCACATAGGTGAGTATCAAGTTTTGTTATTACAAACCCTCATGTGCTTACTGAAGGACAGCTTACCAGTGGAGATAATGCAGCATGTTATTTTAGGGAATTTGTATTGAGAAATCTAGTTTTTTCCCTTCCCTGCAATGTAGACACTAAGTGTCATGTGGTCCTCTGTCCCAAATTATTTTGTATTCTGATGATGGTACAATCACATTGAGCTACAGAGGAAGGGTAAGTAATGTTTCTTGTCTTTCCCCAGAGCTAGATATTTTGAAAGAAATCAAATTCTTTTTAATAGTCACTTTAGTATTAGGGATCATAGTAACAAAATGGAGTTACCACTGTAACCAGTTCCATAGGACTGGATTCTTCAACATTTGAAGAACATATTTGAACAGGGAGTATGTGCTGATGTGTTGCATAGTTCCTAGACGGAAAACTTACTTCTGGTTGGAGCCTCTGGATAGGATGATTATCGACGTGTTTTCTGTATTCTGTGTTCTAAGTAAAAAATGATGCTATGGGCCATATAAACTCTCCAGAGTGATTTTTGTCAGTAAATTTTTAAGGCCGTTTGCTATTCTAGACATTTTTAATAAAACTTAAAATATTCCATGTTTATGCAGTAACTTTGATTATTTTGGTGATACTTAAGTTAGTAACACCACAGTCACTAAAAACAATGAAATTGTTCTGAGTGGGTTTTGAAATCTAGCTGTCGAATGCCTGCATTGCTTTTGAGTGCTTCTTACTTGAAGCAAAGAAATCCCTGTGTACTCAGCATACTGCTTTCTTAAAGAATGAAAATATTATTTGCTTTAGTGTGTATCATAGTGTTGCTTTATATTGTGTACTGAATGTCACAGCTTCCATTTTTTAAACAATTTCTTTTACTACACTTTTCTGTTTCCTGTGCAGCTTTGATTTGCTTATTTTAAAAGAGGTAGTACAGAAAATGGCAGGGATAGAAGTTACAGAAGAGATGACAAATGAACAATTGGAAGCCATGACTGGTGGAGAACAACTAAAAGCTGAGGTGTGTTTGTGTTCAATTTAATTAAGTTATTGCTTATTAGTGATGGTTCTGAAGACTGTTTGCTGAACTCCAGCAGCGTGGCTGAGAGGTGTTACTGCATTCCTCAGAGAGCTTCCCACCCCACTGAGCTCACAAGCCTTACAGACAGGCAGCCAGTGCAATGTATAAGTGAGCCTTAATTTTTGTGCTTCACAGCATCTCTTATTAATGAAATCAGCCTTCATTATCCAGGGTTATGACAGACTTTCAAATTACAGCAGTCAGTGAGTGCCTGAGTTGTGCAGCCCTCCTGTTTCAGCCCTGCACTGGGGGTAGCAGCTCCCTGTTGAGAGGAGAATAAAGCATTTTAACAACTGAAAGCATTTCAGTCCTGGCATCAAAGACCTAGTTGGGTCTGACCTAGACTCAACTCTCTGAGGAGTTCAATGGCTATAATCAGAGCTAAAATCCGAAATTCCTGCTTTGAACAGAGAAGAAGCTTGGAGCAGATCCCAGCAGACCAAGGTCTAAACAGCAGTGCCATGGTGCTGGAGCTGAAATGTCACTCTGTGTTTACTGTGTAAAAGACTAGTAATGTGCAAGACTAGTTAGTTTCTGATTCTTATATAGTTTGGTGCAGTACAGGACCCAGAGGGGGATTTTTGTTGATGGACAGAAAACTGTCTTGACTCTAATTTGTCAGTATTCCTGCAGCCAGAAGCACACATGGTTTTGATTTGCAGTGCACTATTTCCAAATTGGGTAACTTCTTCTGTACTGTGCAGGGTGGATACTTTGGCCAAATCAGGAATACAAAAAAATCTTCTCAGAGATTGAAAGATGCATTATTGGACCATGATCTTGCCCTTCCACTGTGCCTGCTCATGGCTCAACAGAGAAATGGTGTCATCTTTCAAGAAGGAGGGGAGAAACATCTGAAGCTGGTGGGAAAACTGTATGATCAGGCAAGTAAAAACACTTGCATTTTTAAAAACTTTCCCTTTTTTTTGTATCTCCTAGTGTATCAGCACAATATGTAAGAATTTAGTGCAATAAATAGGAGTATAAGAATTTTCAAAATGAGTTGCAGTGATCTCATTAAAATATATGCATGTCTTAAATATATATTATATTGACAAGCGACTTCTGAGTGAAAGACTAAAATATCCTTTGGCATAAGAAAGTTAAATTCTTACTTCTTGTCCATTGTCTTTTTTTGATCTTTGTTAGAAGACTTTTAAGCAGCAGCCTGAATCCTGCCTTAGGCAGTAGGAGCTATAATTTGTTTCTGGTAGAACAGAATGCTCTTACGGTTCTGCTGGCTTTTATAGAGTGCTTTTGTTTGGTTTCTTTTGATGCAGATAGAGTTGAGTCAGCATTGAGAGACAGAAGTATGTGGCATGGAAAATTTAGCATCTCTTCCCCCATGAGAATTCTTACTGGACTATGTGTTGTTCACCTTTTAAAAAAGGAAAAAAGCAAGCTTTCAAGTTCTCTTGACCTTCACTTTTGAATGTAACTGCTAACTTTTTTCTCTCCCATGTAGTGCCATGACACCCTGGTACAGTTTGGTGGGTTTTTAGCATCCAATCTAAGCACAGAGGATTACATTAAGCGAGTGCCTTCCATCGATGTTCTCTGCAATGAGTTCCACACGCCTCATGATGCTGCATTTTTCCTCTCAAGACCCATGTATGCACATCATATTTCAGTAAGTAGAACTCCTCTGTTTGCCTGCTGTTAGTGCTGCTATATTACATGTCATCACTATATGTATTAGGTTCCTGCTGAGCTAAATAAAACTTGCTTTTTGAGTAGGGGTAGAAAGAGAAGCTGTGGCTTGGAACAAGTTACTCTTAGTTTTCATGGGAAATATGGCCCCTGTGTCAGCTTTCACACAAGTAACAGAAGTTGTGGTTAATGAAGCCATCTCCTGTGGTGATTTGGGTGATCAGTAGGACTTCTTCCCCTTCCTGTTCCCCCAAATGTGTGCATGCTTCCTTCTGCGGATGTTTTAAATGGACTTTTGCTGTGGAGAAAAATGTTGCAGCTACACAAAGGTGTGCTGTCCCAGGAAGTGTCAGAAATAAATTTGTTCTTGCATCTAAAATGTTAAATATTGAGAGGAATTTTCACTTGATGTATTACAATGTGTTACTGTAATAACAGGTAACAGCAGTGGTGAAGAAAGATAAATCCATCAATACAGATGAATATTAAGAGTTCTCAAAAAACTTTCTACATAGCCAACATTTACACTCATGAAATGTCACTTATGTACATGGAGCACTGTATAGCATCAGAAAAGTTGGATTATAATCTTTGTACACAATATAAATTTTTCACTTTTTTTATCCACAGTCGAAGTATGATGAACTAAAAAAAGCTGAGAAGGGAAATAAACAGCAGCACAAAGTTCACAAATACATTACATCATGTGAGATGGTGATGGCTCCTGTGCACGATGCTGTGATTTCTCTGCACCTTCCCAAGGTCTGGGATGACATCAGTCCCCAGTTTTATGCTACGTTCTGGTCTTTGACAATGTATGACCTTGCTGTCCCACATAGTAGCTATGACAGAGAAGTCAACAAGCTTAAAGTCCAGATGAAAGCCATAGATGACAATCAGGAAATGGTATGTTTATATAATTTTGTGGTCCAATATAGACTTTCTAACCCTGAAAGATTTTTTTTTTGTGAAATCTTATATTAAGGTCAATAAGATTTGGGAGATTCTTGTCACTTGATTCATCCATTCTGATCTGTCACAGTCACATAATTTGGACTGACTTACCTCATAATTCGCACGTTAAAAGTACCAGTGACTTCACTAAGTGAAAATCATTGGGAAATCTGTTTCCAAAAGCCACCTTTGACACCTTTTATCTGCAGTTTAGCTGTTCACTTTTGTCTTAAGGTCTGTTGGTCAGTGTTCAAAAAAATCAATTGGTTACTAGAAAGTTGAAATAGTATCATACTAACACTTGCATTGGATAGAGCAATTAAATTCCTGATAACACTAAAGAATACTTTAAAAGCTTTCTAAGCGAGTTGCATTGACATTTTGTAGCCTCCAAATAAAAAGAAGAAAGAAAAAGAACGTTGTACAGCTCTTCAGGACAAGCTTCTTGAAGAGGAGAAGAAGCAGTTGGAGCATGTGCAGAGGGTTCTACAGAGACTGAAACTAGAGAAGGATAACTGGCTTCTGGCAAGTAAGTGTGTAGGGGAAACACTCTGGATGGGCTCTTTCTTCTTCAGTCATCACTGTCCCCAGAACTAAAACTTCAGCTTGCATTAATACTCTTAATGTTGATTTTAAAATTTGATCTTTTTATATGTGGAGATCTGTTAGTAAGGTAAACTTTGAATTAGAATGTAATGTCTTTGCAAATGTCTTCCAGAAAACAAGCCATTTTGTGTTTCTGTCAATGTCAAGACCTTTTAAATATTGCACTAATTTACAAAATAAGAGATTGACCAATTTGGTGGAAAGTTGTAATTGCAAAATGGTTTGCACTTACTACTGTTAGAACGTTAGGAGTAATATGCCAGTATTTGGGTGGTAACAGAAACCTTGTTCCAGTGACAAGATAAGTATTGTGGCAGCTTAACAGCACCACAAAATGAAAGAGCATGCAAATGTTTCTTGTGGCAGATATGCAGGAGGCAGAACAGACTTTTTTTTCTCTGACAAAGCATCTGTAATGTTTGATATTGGTTGTGAACTCTGCTGGTGTGGTTAACCTGAAATGTTTTCTCTGGTCAGTTTTCTTCCCTGGAAGAACTTTCAGTTTGTAGCTGGAAGTAGTTGCTCATCTGTCCCCAGGAGCCTAGCATAATCCAGTGGGAAAATGTTTTATTGTCCAACTCATGTAAGATACACCCAGCTGCTTTAATGAAGAAACATGGAAAGTTAAATCAAGAAAGGTTTTTCCCTATAAATATGTAACTTAACGGTACAGCTGGCTAATTACCTATGTGAAATTACTGGTTGAAAAATTACTACCTGAATGAAGCTTGGTTTAGAGCCAACTGATGAATTTACCTGCTGAAGGAAGCATCCAAAAGCATCTGGAAAATTGTTTGTTTAGATACGACCTGTTTATAAACATGTGCTCTTAATAATACAGGCATTTTTGGGATATGGGCAACAGCTCACTGTTGGCTCTTGGGTGCTCAGACCTGAGCTGCAAGAGGTTTCCCAGCATTATATCTGGAGACAAACAGGACTAGCTTCTTGTGTGGATACTCCTGACAGAGTGGTTATATCATTAACAGGAGGATAACTTTTGGCAGAATACGTAGACTGGTAGTTTTAACAATCAGAAACTAGCTATTCTGAAAGGCTGCTTAGTTGCTTTACTTCTATAGTTTAATGTAAATCTTATACCCTTGATTGTTCTATGAACTGCGATTCTCTTGTTTTGTTGGGTTTTTTTTTAGTGTGAAAGGCTCGTTATAAACTTCGAGGGGCAGGTACTAGAATTAAATAAAATCAAGATAAAATGTTTAGTCAAGTATAGCTGACAGTCCTCTCTTGAACAGGATTTATTGCATGAGCATCACAAGTAAATCCTGGGTTTTGTAACTTGTGCCCTGCAGGCTGTGCAGTAGTCCCAGTGCAAAAGCACCAGCTGCCCTCATGAGGGTCATGACTGTCCTTCCTCTGAAGGCATCCACTTGTAGTCTTCAGTTCTGTGCTTTCATCCTTAAGTCTACTTTCTTCCTGCCTTCCTTTTGTGCTATATGTTCCTCTATTTCTGTGATCCTTGTTAACTGGGAAAGAGCTGTTGTGGAACCAGTTCGGGTATGTGTTTGGCCATTGTGTTGACCAACCAGTGGTTGGTCAAACAGAACAGGTAACTGTTGGGCATCCAGTGCAGTTTTTTACTCAATGGTAGAATGTGACTTCACAAAATGTGTGTGTTGGGATGGTGGTTTACAGAAAACTGTTTCTCTATTTAAATTCCTGTAATCATTTGATTGACTGGAAAAATTATTGTTAAGGGATTGTATATGAGCAGCATGTTCTTCCATTTCTGAGGAAACTGAGCTGAAAGTGAGACCCAACTACAAAGGAGAAAACAAGTGTTCTGGATAGCAGACAGTTTTCCTTTTGCTAAGGTGCAAAAGTTGAGCAGTTGAAGTTTACCAAAATGTTTTCTGAGCCTGTTTTTTTTTCCCCCCAATTGTGCACTAGAAGAGTTTTCCCAATAATTTTCTACAGCCACCCTCCTACCCTCCCCAATTCTCAGAGTTTAGCTCACTTTGCACTTTCCTCAGCAGTGCCACACATGTCTGGAATACAAGCAGCCTAATGTACAAACCTGAGAATGTGCATGTGCCAGTACTCAGCTTCTTGGGCAGAGAGCAGCTGAATGTTTACTCGTTAACTTCCTTTCTTCCTTTTTCTCCCAACTTCTTTATATTTGAAGAGTCTACCAAAAACGAGACTATCACAAAATTCCTGCAGTTATGTATATTTCCTCGATGCATTTTTTCGGCAATCGATGCAGTTTATTGTGCTCACTTTGTGGAACTGGTGCACCAGCAGAAAACACCCAACTTCTCCACACTTCTCTGCTATGACAGAGTAAGTAGCTAGAACTTTGTGTATGTGCTTAATTACCAGTATGAGCATGCAAACTAGTCTGGTTTCCTTTGAGAGGGAGTAGTTGAAGGAGGTATCTGCTTTGATATCATGGGGCCCAAAGAGCATTCTTGCTCAAATATTCAGTGCCTGTTCTAGGTGACAGAAGTAGACAACTACATAAGCCCTATCTGATGAACCTCTGTTGGCCAGGAACAAATCCTTTTTCATCAGCTTGGCTAGGTGTTTACTTCTACCTGCTCAAATAAATGATTAATTTGAAAGCAAACTAGTTACACACCATTGAAGACACACTTGATCTATGGAAAACTGAGTGTCAGCAGTAGCTGTATGCAGTGTTCAGATTCTGTGTGAGGTGTGAAGGACCAGCAGCTGGATAATAGTCTTGAAAACAAACAGAATATTTTATAAGAGACCTCTTTTATTTTTAGAAACCAAGTTAATGGTGTTTTAGATGAAATTCTTGTTGGTTCTTGTTCTTTTTGTAATTCAGTAAAGTAGTTGTAACCTTTCATTATGGCTGTTCACAGGTTTTCTCTGATATTATATATACGGTTGCAAGCTGCACTGAGAATGAAGCCAGTAGATACGGCAGGTTTTTGTGCTGCATGCTGGAGACTGTGACTAGATGGCACAGTGACAGAGTCATATATGAAAAGGTATGTGAAGTTAGGGTAAGCTTGCTTGTGAGACTACAATGACTACTTGTGTAATTTCACCCAGCAAAAATGGGTTTAGTGAAGGAAGTTAGATTTAAAAACAGTGAGTTTTTGTGGTGGTGTAATGTTAAAGTTGAGTTTCTGTAATTCATGTCATTTTAATAGAAGTAATTTTGTGTAGTGTCAAAAAAACAGAGGCTAAAAAATCTTACACTTCTGATTTTTCCCAAAGCCTGTCTTGAAGATAATTTGGGGAGAATATGGAAACTCATAATACTCCTAGCAAAAGCTAGTTAAATTACAAATAATCTTTTCTCTCACCCCCAACTAAGATTTGAACATACATAAGCTTTTAAAAAAAGTATAAGTCTTGTAAAGTTTGATCGTGTCTTAGTCTCCATCAGAATTAATGAAAAAATGCTCCTGTTCATATGAACTTCTGCAGTTTTCTTGGTTTAATGCTTCCTGAAAAATATTTTTTTTTTCTTTTATGCCTGTGTAGGAATGTGGCAACTATCCAGGCTTCCTAACTATATTACGGGCAACTGGTTTTGATGGTGGAAATAAAGCTGATCAGTTGGATTATGAGAATTTCAGACACGTGGTGCACAAATGGCACTATAAATTAACTAAGGTAAGTAAATATGACAAAAAACTTGTCTTTTTGGAAACTTTAATTAAAAAAAAAAACGTTCATTGGATTTAATTTGTGTTCTAGGCTTCTGTGCACTGCCTAGAAACAGGTGAATATACACATATCAGAAATATCCTGATTGTGCTGACCAAAATCCTTCCGTGGTATCCAAAAGTGCTGAACCTGGGCCAAGCCTTGGAAAGAAGAGTACATAAGATATGTCAGGAAGAGAAAGAGAAGAGACCCGATCTATATGCATTGGCTATGGGGTAACAACACCTTACTTTAAGAAAGTGGTTAAAAGTGGATCATGAAAAGCTTCTAAAGACTTGGAACTGTTACAGTCCTAACATTTGGTTTTTACCTTATCACAGAAGATTTCACTATCCTGCATCTCAGGGCTGGCAGTGTGAATGGAAACTTTCATTTTATGCTGGATGATCACTAATTTCCTTTACAAGACTGTAGTAAAACACTTCAAATAGTTAAGATTTCCACTCACAAGACCATAGCTTAATTTTAAAGCAATAGTATAGCTGCAAGTAGGCAGGAGGGAGTATAGAATGAAGAAAGCCAAGGGCTGTTGATGTAGATTCTGGAAGTTTATATGACTCTAAAATGTTTAGTCATGTTTTACATCTTTCTGTGATGAATGCTCCCAGAAACCTCCACGTATGCTTGAGGGGCAATTCAGGCTGCCCTAATAGTTTTAAATTTTGTCAGTAGACTGTTCCTGTGTGTTTGGCAGGTGTGTGTGGTGGTGAAGAGGGTGTGGAGGTAGGGCTGATTCTGTCTAGTGTGGTGTTCTTTGTTGTTGTTGTTTGTTGCTTTTTAAAATTTTATTTGAGCTCATCGATAAAGGGGGAAGAAACTGCGTATCGGTTGGGAAAAACTGTGAAATAAATAACAGATGAACTGTTAGATTAGATCCTCATTTAAGATTCAACCCATGTTTTGCTTTATGTTTGTGCATATTTAACAATCTGTGCGACTTGCAGCTATTCTGGGCAGTTGAAAAGTAGGAAGCCTTTCATGATACCTGAAAATGAGTTCCACCACAAAGACCCACCTGCCAGGAATGCTGTAGCTGCAACAGTACAAAATGGGCCAGGTGGTGCTGGGATGCCTACATCTCTCACAATAAATACAGTTAGACTGGAAGAAGGCACTACTGAGGAGACTGGTAAGCAACCTGTGATTTATATTCACTTAGTTTTTACTAGAATTCTTCTGACACTAAAGGCTACTCTCGAAATCTGCCTCATTAAACTGAAAAGAAAAAAATTAAATACAATGCTAAATAGATTCCAAGTGTGTCCTTTATTTTGATTTGGTTTTGGGAGAGGGTGTTGTGCATTTAATTACCTATTTTAACTGAACTACACATGATCTTATGTGAATATGCTTAGGTACTTGTTTTATTTTAACCAGTACAATGTATATTAACTTGTTAAAATAAAACTGTTCTTTTTTTTTTTTTAACTAGATAAACTAAAGGAGAAGTCTCAGGGTGTGGTGAAAGTTATTAATAAAACTGTCAACGCTACACCGAAGGTGACAACAAGCAATGGAAACAGTGCTTCTAATAGGTAAGAAAAATTCTTCTTTGACTCTGTTTTCTTCCTTCCGAACTGTAGAATTATACTGGAAAATGCTCTGCATTTTCTTTTTTGCTTTCACATTCCTTATCTAAATTTTTTAAAAGTTTAATAAATAAGCTTCTTTCCTACAAGATACACAGCTGTACTGATCTAACACTGTTGTTAAATGCATTCAATTTTTAACTAAATAAAACTAAAACAAGAACCTTTGCTTGCTGCTGTTCTGCAAAGGAGACAGCAAATTTGAAATCTGACAATGACTACTTCAAGAGTCATACTTCTATGAAATGGTCAGAAGTAAAACTTTTGTGATAAAACTAGAGTTGGTTTTCTACATGTGTTAATGGGCCTTTTTATTTTTGACACAGCAAAATTATTAAGGAGAAAGATGATAAAGAGAAAAGTGGGAAGGAAAAAGATAAAGAAAAGAAAGATAAGACTCCAGCTGCCACTCCAGAGATGAAGGCACTTGGGAAGGATGGGAAGGATAAACCAAAGGAAGAACGGGCAAACAAAGATGAGAAGGCAAGAGAGATCAAGGAGAAAACACCAAAATCTGACAAAGAGAAGGAAAAAGTGAAGAAAGAAGAAAAAGCTTCAAAAGAAGAAAAATCCAAGACAGTCGTGACCATCGTTGAGTCCAAGTCAACTGCAGAAAAGGAGAGAGAAAAGGAGCCGTCCAGAGAAAAAGATATAGCGAAGGAAATGAAATCCAAGGAAAATGCTAAAGGAGGAGAAAAGATGCCAGTAGCTGGGTCCTTGAAGTCACCTGTTCCCCGATCAGAAGCATCAGAATTTGAAAGGGGTAAGTTGGCATATTTAATTTCTCTTCTTGTCTATAATAAACTACAGTGTCGCTGGGAAATCACTGAATGTCAAGGAAGGCTAGAGGTGGTGAGAGAGGATTGCCACATGATAAACAGCGTTTTGGCATTGGCTTTTAAATACAGTTAGTGCCTGAATTAAGTCATAAGAGTATCTCCAAAAGGAAGACTGAGAATGTGTGAGCTTCACAGTTTGTCAGTGAGTGCTTGTATTAATAGACCCTGTCTTTTTTTTTGCTATTAGTCTAAACGGTCTTTTATTAAAATGTACAATTGTGCCCTGGCAAGTTTTGCAAAAATGGAATGCAAAAATCTCGAGGAAATACCTGGAGAGTTTGATTGTAACCTTTGAACTGAAAGAAAATGGAGGATGTGAAAGGTTGTAGGCTTTTGTGTCCTTAAGAACACAAGGACAGGGAGGACACAGTAAGCTGTGGCAGTCCATTGTCGTCATATAAAGGGTTAACGGATCCCGAATGCTGATATTTTAGGTTCTTATAGTATGAGACTGATGTTCAGTTTTACACTTTCACTGCTTAAAGCAAACCAAATAAAGAAGGGTTGTAATGCTTGTCCTGTGGTTCAGTGATATAAGATCAGACCACCCTCTTTTCAGTGCGTTCTGATAACGCTGTTGTTCTTCTTTTCTTTCCTCAGAACAAAAACGCCGCAAAGTTGATAGCCATTCTTCTCCATCACATTCCTCAACAGTAAAGGTTAGTATAGCCTGAGGAAGGCAGCGCCCATGTTAGGCTCACGAGTTTGGGATGCCAGTGTTCGACTTCCTTCAAGTTTTGTGCCAAGTATTCACTGGAGCCACTGGAGGTTTTATGTTGCATTAGAAAATGCATTCCTTTTCTTTATTGGCGGACTGTCTTTTTTTCTATAAAAATATTTTTAATTATCCAAAATAATGCTTCAAGGACCTAGCACAAATTTTGTAAATAGTGTTTGGAAATGGCAAGAGAATTTTTACACAGAAGTGCCTCATTGTTTTAAGCAGTCAGTTTTTTTGGAGTGCAATGGTAGCTACAAGCAAACGAGTCTTTGCAGCAGAGTGGAGCATATTTTTCTGCACTTCCATTGAAGAATCTGTAGCACTGAAGATTCCTGGATGATACGGGATGTACGATACCTCTGCATTCATCAGGCTTCTTGATGAGCATCATACCGATGTGTGCCTTCTAAGGAGGAGTCTTGAAAGGAGTTCCATTTTAAAGTCTCCTTGGTGATCAGTTCTCCTGTAGTTGTGTATATTCAGTGCGCATGCAGCTTCTGTTGTACCTTCCCTTCGAGGTTTGTTTATTTCCAATGGGTTCCCACCATGTTGAGCCCTGCGTTACGATAAAACCAGATGTGGCAACCAAGCCTCCTACCCAGCAAAGAGAAACCCCAAGCATTCAAGCGCAGCACAAAACCATGGGCGTAGCCTACTTGAAGACTCAGGGTAGCCATTCCTTGCTCCATATTTATTTTATTTCTAAACCATCTATGTTCATGGAATCTTTGAATTTGCAGTACGTTGAACATTGAAAACTGTAAGTTACTAATACTTCATCAAGAGCACTGTGATGGATTATGTGGGCCTTTAAACTTCACCATCTTACCAACTTTAGAACAAGCTTTTCTTTCTGGTTTTTCAAAGTATATATTTTTCTATGTAAGATTTACTTGAAAGATTTAGGCTGATTTTGGAGAATTCAGCTGTTACTAGTTTTGAGGAAGCAGGTGGCAGAGATAACTACTCAATGATGAAGTTGTTTTTGCTTTTTTTGTAGATGGCGATGTAAAGTCATTGTAGAGTGACTTCTACCACATTTAACTGAAAGTGGAGAAGTTACAGGTTCAAAAACACTTTAAACCTGTTTCACCTGTTCAGATGTATTTAAAGTTAAGGCTGTTTTTTCTTTATATTTTTGTCTTGGCGGGAGAGTGTTTTTTCATTGTTTTCTGAAGAATTAGATATAAACATTTTGTAGATTACTTAATAATGGGGTCTAGAGGATAGGTATGACTGTCTCTTTTTTCTTCTTTCTTTTTAAAAAATTTCAGTTCCGAGCTTTATTCAGTGTACAGTATTAACGTAAGATTTATTCCAGAAGGAGTAGCTGTTTTTTGTTTCAAGGGTACGGCCATGCTTCCCAAAGTTCCTCTGGTTTCTGAAAACTATTCCAGCTTACGTGTCATCTCCATTCATTTTCTACAGGACAACCTCAACGAACTCAAGGACTCTTCAGCAAAGGTTTGAATCTTTTAGAAACCACCAAAGTTTACTTTCATGTTTTGTTGCAGAGGGAACTTAACTTTTGGTCTTGTGGCAAACCCCATCAGAAAATTCAAATTCCATTCCTGTAAATGCTACTCTAGTAACAGGGATTTATTTTCCACCCTGCTATATAGAACCTCTGTATAGAGGAGAGAGAGAGAGTCATGTAGAAGCACCATCACAAAAATTACCCAAATTTACCTTTCTTGTCAATATTGTGAAGAGATTTCATGGCTCATGATCTTTTCTGGTTGCCTCTGAAACCTGAAAATTTAGGGAAATGTCCTTATGTTTGAGCTATTTATTTAGCTGAAGAGGTGATAGAATAGTTAAAATAGTTCTTAGAATAGTTAGTTTTTCTTTTGATGCCAATTAGGAAATGGTAGTTAGTTAAAACCAAAAATATTTGAGACATATCTCTGGAATCAGTACTCTTTC